TGCATCTATATACAAGCAGGATTTGCATCCGCTTCGAGACGGCCGAGCGCCCCGCGGCATTTGGTATTATCAACGATTTTCTTTGGTATAGAGGCTAAAGATTTTAGTTTCTTTTCGATCTCGTTCTTGTTTTTCCCACTGACTGTGATTGTTTGTGTCTTTGCATACCACCGAATGGATGTATCATCATATTCAAAGAGTTTGCCATCGCCACCAGGGGAAGACCATTCTCCATCGCATAAATTCAAACCTTCTTCTACAAATTGTTGCAAGAGCTCATATGATGAGGTCCAAATCACTTTGCCTTTAGTGTTGACATCTAGATTGTGCAATAGACTTTGCTTCGGATCCATTTGTCCTAGCTTCACAATAAATAATTATCTGTAGACTTTCAGTAGACTTTTATAATAAATACAAGCGGAGCCCATGAGTGGCCCAATATCAATTATAAACAGTGGCGCAGGGAGTGGGAAAAGTGGGAATGCCATCCCCCTTTCGAACGATTTTAGAGCGGCGCAAAACCTTAAAGGGGACGCCGAAAATGTATGAATTGAAACCAAAACTGTCCAATCTACTTAAAATCGGCTAAATGAGTGAAGGAAAGATCGACGCGTATTTAACCGTCTTAAAGGATGACCACTGGTTCTAAGCTGTTGTTAAGGAAGGGGCATCTCTTGTTAGCACACACGGCCGTCCTTTACAAAATCTAGCATTCTGATTGGATATTAAACCACCGACCATTACATAACGGGAAAAGTTTCTAGGGAATTCTGCAGAAAATCGTTTGCGCGAATAACTAAAACGAGTACATACCTGTACTATTCAGGTTTGAAATATTATAATTGCAAAAATCAAAATGTATAACCATTTTTAAGTAAAAGATATGCTTTTACTTGACATAAAATATAAAAACGAAACAAACAGAATTCTAATAAATTCATTGTGTTATTCATAGCCCAGTAAAACGTTGGAAATTACCATAGTTAATGGCGAAGTGATAGATGGTTTGGAAATCATTACCGATGTTAGTGAACGTCTATTCATAAATAGTTTCCTTCACCGTCACGTGTGTATTGTATTTTGCCAAATCCACCAATAGCAATTTCCAATTTATCCTATTGTTCAAGTCACGGATAGGCAACTTTCCTAAACATTGCTATTGGTTAGTTGGGCAAAACTAAAAAAAACACGTGATGGTGGACTAGATTTATGAATAAACGTTGACTAACAAAGATAATGATGCTTGTGATGTTACTCTGAGTGTATATCTACACCGGGCAGGCTTAACAAATATGCTTGGCCACGGTGGGAATCGAACCTACGATCTTTGGAATACTAGCCCAATGCTCTGCCAACTGAACTACGCGGTCAGGTCGGTTCGAGTCTAGTTCCTTCGATATATCAGTGTAATCTAATAATCATGATATTTGCTATCTTGGTGTAATGTACTCAGGTGAATAAGATGCTTGTGATGTTACTGTGAGTGCATATCCACACCGGCAGGCTTGAAACATTACCAAGGCAGCAAATATAGATAATGAGTTATACTGTTATTCAAATGAGTAATCGATTGAAAAATAATCGAAATAATAAAAAAATAATCGATTAATAATAATCAATAATAATCGATAAAAATAATCGATTAAAAACAATAATAAAAAAAATAATCGCTTAATCGATTAATCGAGAGCAGCTCTACGACAAAGTGACGTCCAATTGAAGAATCAAACGAATAATGCAGCGACAACAGCGATAATGCTTTGATAAATGCATGGATAATTAATTCTTGCGATAATGCGTGGATAATTAATTCATTTTATTTCGAATATCGAAGTCCGATCCGACTAAGAAACAACTTTATCAATCCGATCCGATTTGAAATGTATGTTTTTGTTCCGAAATCTGAACGAATCCGATTGGATTCGGATCGGATTTGCACACCTGTAATAAACAATTGAAACAAACTTGCCCTATACTTTAGAATTTCTCATACTAAATCAATTCTTATAAATGTTTACGTTTAAAAATTAAAAAACGTTTACAATTTGTTATGTGAAACGATTTTAGAAACGAACCACGCACGGGATCCCACGCCAATTCAATTCAATTCAAAAACATTTATTTAAACACGATATAAAAATAGCAGCAAATTGCTGATGTGGTCGTGTGTTTACCAGTATAGTAAAATCTATTTACATATGCTATGTTAATATATATGGTTTATATATAATTAAATATCGTAAGAATAATAATAGTAAGAATATGTAGTAAGGATATGACTAGAAAAGTTGAAAATAGATATAGTTCAGATCATTAGTGTTTGTATAGGAGGTAAAATCCATTGCCTCAAGATCGTGTTGCCGTATCAACATTTTAAAATTATTATGTCGTTCCTCGTTTCTAAGATTGGTCGGTAGTTTGTTCCACAATACTGCTCCCCTAAATTTTACTGACTTATGCAGGAAGTTGATTTCTGGTCTTGGAATGACCAACTTTTCTGATCCTCTTAAATTGTTATTATCTTTCTTTGTAATTATATTCTGACAGAGTTGGTCTGGTGCCTCACCGTAACAACATTTGTGGACAGTGCTTAATACTCTTTGCTTATACGTACTGCTCAGTGTTTTCCAGCCAGTTTTATGTATCACTTCTTGGCTTGGTATGTCCCAAATCAACCTGTAGATTATACGTGCGGCTCTTGTGTGCAACCTTTCCAAGGCTTTGGAATGTGTTTTACCACAGTTTCCCCAAACAAGAATGCAGTATGTTATGGATGGAAAGATTACTTTCCGGTAAAAATCTTCCAGCATATTTTTTGGAAGGAAACCCATTGATTTTAACAAATTTAATTTCCTGGCGAATGCAAGTTTGACATTTTCTGTGTGTTCATTCCATTTCAGCTTATTGTCCAAAGTCACTCCTAGAGATTTTGACTTCCTTACCCACTTCACTAAACTGCCATTTAACTGTACTGGTGGTAGAGGACCTACGAAAGTTCCGCGTTTAATGAGCATGGCTTCTGTTTTGGCTGGATGGACCGTCATTCCGTTTTTGTAACACCATTCACTCACAAGGCCTAATGTCTCAATTAGTTTGAGGATCACTTGATCAACTGTTTCGCCTATACTTAGCCTATACTATGCAATTCTTCATCATCGTGCCGTGCACAGTCCGGAAGATCATCGCAAAAGAGTGCGAATAATAGGGGCCCCAGGACTGATCCTTGTGGCACCCCGTAGTCAACACCCTCTCTTTCAGAATCGCACAGTCCTATTTTAGTGAATTGGCGTCGGTTACAGAGGTAGTTTCGGATCCACAACAACAAATTTCCAGAGATGCCCGCCCGTTGTAACTTTAGCAGTAGTTGGTGATAAGGGACAGAGTCAAAAGCCTTCTTAAAGTCGATGAAGACAACTCCCACCACTCTATTGCTGTCGACTGCTTTCCTCCATATCTCTGTCCTATGTAACAACAGTGCTTCCGTTGAACTATTTTTCCTGTATGCCCACTGATTTGGATTTAGTAAACCAGGATTGATATCAATATGGTTGACTAAGGTTTTGTGTACTTCCTTCTCCATTAATTTTCTTGTAGTGCACAGCATGGATAATGGTCTATAATTATCTCTGTCTGTCTCATCATCTTTTTTATGTGCTGCTGCTGCTATTCTTGCCACCTTCCACAAATTGGGTAGAGTAGCAGTCCTTGCACTTGTTTGGAAAATATCTCTCAATAATGGTGCGATTTCTTCGGCAGCTGCTCTCAGCAAAATCGGTGGCAAGTCATCTGGGCCAGTCGCTTTATGTGTATTGAGCCTTAACAAGTTCTCTTTTACATTCTCTTCCTGTATTTCAATTTCCATAACGGTTGAGGATATTCGATCAATGAGCTCTACTGTTGGCACGTAGTGGCTGTTTGAGAGACCTGCTAACTTTTCTCCTGTAGTTGCAAAATGCTTATTCAATATATTTGCTATCTCTCTATCATTTGTGACCAATGCGCCAGTATCTGACTTAATCGCACGAATGGTCTTCATGTTTGATTCCTTCCCACTGGCTTGATTTAGAATTTTCCAATACTTCCGTATGTTTATTTTTTGACAATTTGCAAGCTCCGCAAAGTAGGTTGATTTAGCTCTCCTTAATTCTGCTGTCACCTCATTCCTCAACTTCCGGTATTCTTTCCACAGTCCTTCGTTGTTTCTTTCTTTCTTTGCTTTCTGCAATGCCTTGTATCTCCTGTTCATTTTGTGTCTCAATGCACCGCTCATCCATGGCAATGTTTGTCGTCGAAGCTTAACTTTTCTTTTTGGCGCATGTTCTTCACATATGTCTTTGAATATATCTCTCCACACTGAACACTTGTCTTCGACATCTTCGAACATTTCACAAGTAGACCATGGAGCATTTTGTAGATCCAACTTGAATTTTTCTATCTCCATTTTCTTGCAGTTTCTTATAGTTACTATCCTGGGAGGCACCTTTCTTGGTTTAAAATCCATAGAGAAGGATACTAGATTGTGATCGAATATTCCAGTGTCTGCTGTTTTAATATTTTCCACCAAATCGGCTTTGTTTGTGATTATCAAGTCGATCATTGTTTCTGTGGTAGGCGTTACCCTTGTGAAATCTTTGTTCATAACGGAACAGTCAAATTGAACAAGCGCAGACATAAGTTTTTCTTGTAGTCTCAGCTCATGTCCGTGTGCTGTTTTGCTGAAATTGACGTTGAAATCCCCCACCAAAACTAAGTTCTTGTATTTGTACCAAGCTTTTTCTAAAGGTATTACTATATCTTCGAAGAAAGCCGTATTGTCCGGGGGTCTATAGAATGAACCTATTGTCACCGAGCTTGATTTGGTTACTATTCTTAGCCATATAGCTTCTATCTTCTCATGATCCAAATGTTTCAAGTGTACTGCAGTCAGAGTTTTCAATACAAAGACCACCATTCCACCCCCCCTTCTGCCATCGGGACAATCTCGTTGAATGGTTCGATATCCATCAACTTGTAGTTGTCTGTTACCTATTTTCTTGCTAAGATGCGTCTCGCAGACAGCTAGTATATCAAATTGGTTTGTTTCAAGCATTATTTTCACTTCATCCATCTTATTCTTCAAACTACAAATGTTTATTTGCCCGATGTTTAACTTGTTCAGGTTGAATTGGTCTCCGGTTTGGATCTGTGTGTCCTGTCCAAGAGTTGTGGTTCTTTCGTGGACAGACGGTCTTGCCATTTAGCTAGCGATAACCAGGGTCTAGCATATACTCCGTCAGGCCAGAAAGGTGTCTCTTTCACAACATCGAAATCTTTAGCGACGACATTTATACGAACGGACCTTGTTCCTTTCCTTTTGCTTTGCATCAAGCGTACGAATGTTAGATTTATGTTCCTTTTCATCATGTACTCTCTGATCTTTTCTGAACTAACGCCTTCTCTTATGCCTCCAAGGAATACACGTTTTATCCTTTGTCTTCCGACACCAACAAATATATTGAACATCGTTCACGTTGTTTGTCTCGTTGTTCTCATGGATTGTGTTTCATCCTGTTACTTTATTCCCTGATTCATTAGGTGCGTTAAGTTGTCCGCCACCTTGCGTGATCTCTGCTTGCTCTCTATCCTTTTGTGCGAGGCTTTTCTCGACTGTGGTAGTCTTTAAGGTCTCCACTTCCTGAGTGTCCGGTTTTCTGTTATTTTCTACTGGATCTGCCCCTTTTCCGTGTTTTGACGGATTTGCATCTGTGCTCTGGGGTTCCGCCACTGAATTCTTTGAGGATTTCCGTTTACTTAAATTGCTTTCACCATGCCCTTGGTGTTGCTTTTTCTTGATACGGTCCAGATCCCTACTTGTGTTACTGACTTTGTTTCCCATGGTCTCTACTTTGCCCTTTAGAGAAGTTAGCTCTTCAGCATTTCCCTTTATTTCCTCTTTAAACCGCTCGTGAATGGCTTTTGATTGTCCTTTGAGGCTTGATATCTCAGTTTCCAACGTTTGGATTTTTGAATTTCTAGCTTCCAACACAGAATTGAGTTCATTAACTTTATTTTCAAATCTTTTCACTGATTCAGCGCATTCTTCCCTAACTGCAAGGAGTTCTGCTCTCATGTTTTTTACTAAGACTAGGATGTCTTTGCAGGACATTTTCTCATCCGAATGCTTGGTTTTGGTGACTGGATGTGAATTGGAATTCACCTGGCAAAACGTATCTGCTAGACTTTGTGTAAGGTCTCTCGACTTCCAACATTTCCTCGCTTCAGTGGGTGTTGACAAACCATCCGCTGGACTTGGGGTAACTTGACTGAGTGGTTTCTCTGCACCAGCTTCAGCATCACTACACCAATGAATTGTGTTTACCACACCTGATTCACTTACAACTGATAGATCGGATGATCCATTTTCGTTTTTGAACATGTCCTTTAACCCCATTGTGACAACCCCGGTATTAAAGTACTCGTGTATTTCACAAATATCATTTGCCAAACGTTCTTCCAAGGTCAAGAACTTGCTGCATCCTTTCGGTTTCCTTCTAGTATAAGGGTCACCTTTTGGGAAGGTCTCAAATTGTCTCCCTTTCTCGACCAATTTTAATCTAAATTGCGTCAAACTGTCAATATCTCCCTTCCCAATTAACTCTGCCACGATGTCATTTCTGGGTTGCTTTGAAATTTTCTTAATCAGAGCTTCAATTTTATCCGACATTTCAGAACTGTTTTGTAGTTCAAAATTGCAGGCCTACTTAAGCGTTCCTGGAGAACCAGTCCGCATAAGAATCGTAAAAACTCAAATTGACGTTGATTTTGGAGTTATCCTCTTGAAAAGTGCTAAAAAAATGCTTAAAATTTGGATGCTTCGCTTGGTCAATAACATTGGAAAATAACATCCGCCATCTTGGATGCTTCGCTTCCGCGATCATTGATGAACTTTCGACTTTGCTAATGCTTTCGTTTCCCCGGGTGTAAATAGCCGGGCGGAATTAGTACCCTCGTCCCGGCGCTTCGCGCCGTTGGCTCGGGGATGAAATTACAAATGCTTGTGTTTGCGTAATATATAGTTAATATTAATAGAGAGGTTAAGATTGACGTTTATGGCAGACCAGTAACTGCTAACCGCTAACTTCATATTTTGAGATCAATTGCATGTTTATCTCATACCTAGCGTATTAGTGGCTTTCCTATTGGCTACGAGGAGGTGCGTGCAATCACGAACCGGCAACCTGCTTTATGAAGCGATTTGAACAAATTTCCGACGAAGATTTAAATAAAAAATGAATTAACTGTTTTCAATTGTTTTATATTTATTATTTTTTTTTATTTTGTTTAATGAAAATGGAATATTAATTCTGTATTCAAAGTGGAAGAGAAGAAAGATAGCCGCCCCGAAATTTGTTCGGCACGGGCAGGTTTATTTAAATCTTGGAAATTATTTCGCATAATGTGTTCATTTTCTCTTTTGAAGTATAAGGGAATACTGTAGAGAATTGTTTTAGCTTCAATTTAAGCCTAAGTTTCTTTATTTGCGTAGTATGTTGACGGCTAAAATGTTCGTTATCCAAACAAGAAATTATATACTAAAATGCGTAAATTCTTTAGTACTTTTGACCGAAATGATATGTGATAAAAACCAAACATTCTTGCAGGTTCGGTGAGTCTGTGATTGGACGCACCTCGGGTGGCTGGAAGTTTCCCGAACTCACCTAGCTTCGCTCGAGATGAATTCAAATGCAAATTTAAGCTTGCCGCTTGCGGTTAGCGGTCTGCCGTATACGTCAATCTTAACCTCTCTAATGTTTTTAATCAAATGCTTTCTATTTATCAGTTAATTAAAAGTGTAGTCTCTCATAACTGTAGTACTTGACTGAATTAACCGTAATACATTATATTGCCAAAACCGAACAATATATTATATATGATATATATTCAAATATTTCTTAGTCTGGTTATGAAAACCCAAGACGAACGTGTGCTTTTATTGAACCTGACATAAACGGCAGTAAATGGAGCAGTAAAGGATGCACATTGAATAAAGCTGAATCGAGTGAGAAAAATGTTATCTGTGATTGTGATCATAACACTGCTTTTGCTGTTATGATGGATGTTGCTGATGTGCAGGTAAGATTTTAATTATAGGTCATTTCAGTTTACTGTAAGTGGAACGTTACACCGGTAGGAGATCGGCACGTTGACCGTTACCGCGGAGTGAATTATGCTACTGTAGAGGATTTATGTTAAAGAGAACTTCTTTGTTTTGCAAAAATATAGGGTTTTTTTAGAAAACGAGATATAACATTTCGACGTTTTAGCCTAATGTGAAATGTGTTCGAAAATTGCATTCATTTGTTTGTTTGAACTACCAGGATAGCAAGGGACATTTGTAGCTATAAGGGGATGCCCATGTAAACCTGCGGTCCAGCTAGCCGAGATGGTTTGTGTCACGAAAAATATATTTCGAATGAACTTTTTACTGTTAGTGGAATCAATCTCAGCTAACTGGACTTTGAACGTCATGTTGAATACTTATCAAAGCCGCGATAAGACTTTTATTAAACAAATCATCCCGATTAACCGGGCTCCTCATCTGCACATGAACACAACCCCTGAGCATGAAACGAAAGCAGGCGTAAAAATTGTGGTGTCAAGTGTGTATTGGGATAGTTTTATTTTAGTCGCACGAAACAAAAGGAGAGGAGGAAAATAGTGGGATTCGCGTGCACAAAACCAGTGCAGCACAAGCGCAAAGACATGCTATTCTTTGAATAAATACAAATAAGGCTTTTGATCCCGACCAAACTAACAGACTAACAAACTCACACAGCGACATGGCAAACTTCGTTTGGGCACCGCAATAGTACAAATTTTAGCATACGTTTGCGATTTCATCCGATCCCAAAGTTTACACAATATTTCATAAGAATATTCCTTACTTTTTCAGCTAACAGAGTCTGAGCGCAAAATATTAGAAACGATTTCCACCATTGGATGTTCAATATCGTTGGTCGGTATCACCCTGACCGTTCTTCTGTATGTTTGTTTCTGGAAACATTTCAAGTCACCTCGTGTCAAAGTTTTGCTCAGTTTGTGTGTTGCCATTGGATTAACTGATATCTTCGCTATACTTGAGGGTGTTGCCAGAGATAGTCCGGTAAGCTTCCTTATCAAAAACGTTTTACCATTAAAATATTGATAGCTTATAGTGCAGGGTGCGACAATTTCCGTAGTTACGAAGGTACGCCAATATTACGGTCTGTTACTTCTGTCTTTTCGGTCACGTACCATGTATGTTCGCGTCACTCGTGTTATTTGCGCACTTAACTTTTTGCTTTCGACCTTTCTAAGCCCAAGTTATTCAAAACCATATTTTAGTCGCAATATGTGCAAGTCTAGCATGACTTTGCATTAAACATGATTGGACTGATATGATGAGATAGGACTAAGGAATGTTAGAGTCGGTCGTAGTGTTTGTGTACCTAACTGGCTAACTACTAGTGTCAGGTTACTGAAGGAATCCCTTTTGGAAACCTGTACATTGTGTACTATATTCTAAAAACTAACTACACCTCCAGTGTGCGTCGAGTCTTAAGTTTGTACTATAGCTCAAGTACGCGGCAATTGCCATTGGAGTACCAGTAAGATACGACTAAAACGTTTGAATTATCGCACCCTGTAGTGGTTAGGAATGCATGTCCGGAGCCAAAGAGGCGGCTGTCATTGTTGTCCAGTCAGTGCGGGCAGCAAGAGGGAGGAAGGTTAAGAACTACACAAGAAAGTCACATAAATTGAAATTGAGAAACGTTTTCAAGCAATTTATCTCGCATTTGAAACTTAAACACCCCTGAGGAATCATTACCAAACTCTCCATATGAAAATGTGTGGAAAATAAAGCCTAATTCCTAAATAATGGACGTCTGTCGATCTGTCATATTTTTTACAATGCATTTTAGCCCTTAGCGCAATGCAACACATAAGAAAACCTGACTAAAAACGCATGCACATGCAGTGACCGAAAGTTCAAACTTATTAGCGAATTTACTCTGTTTTTCGAACGAAGATTTGCTCTACTTCAGTTGGCACTGTCGAATTAGTTGCTTGGTGCCAGGGACTCCCCGCTCATATCATCACTTTCTTCTCTTTTACCACAGTAATATATGTATTATAGTTCTGAGGGATTATGTTTTGGGGCAGAATTTCAGGATATATTAAAGGCTAATCTTCAATTTTACCATCGTTTAAATTGGATCATCTTATAAATCCATGGCATTATAAAGTAATCCATCTTATTTTTTTATCCAATTTTCTTCCATCAAAAATTTTTCATCACTCTGATGTGAATATATGAGGGAGTCAGAGTGTATATGCATTTTTATATGCACCGGCAATAAATGAACTGCTACCTAGTTATGAGGGGCTCCCCGGGTTTCTAGCGAACAAGTGAATATGACAGATTTTGTTTTCATTTAGTATGTGACGTCATACCGCTAGTCCAAAATTGACAAGATCTGCTAAAGCCACCTAGGTCTGGGCACAGATCTGATAAAGCCACATACATGGCTGCTGTTGGACAGCAAGCAAGTAAATTTTAGTCAACGCGTACAGCCATCATGTATTGAATTTTATTTTGGTTTGGTTTGGTTTGGTTTAGTTTATTTCAACACAATTCTTCAATTTGTAAATCTTGTCTTGTCTTGTCTTGTCTTGTCTTGTCTTGTCTTGTCTTGTAAGATAAACCAATAAATGCGACAATTTAATACATATTTACTGTATGTATGTCTAATTCCTTTTCAACAGAAATTCTGCAAAGCAGTAGCGGCTCTCCTGCATTTCTTTGTGCTGTCAGCGTTCGGATGGATGTTGTGTGAGGGAATATTACTGTACATCTTACTCATCAAAATATTTGATGGTGCTCGTGGGAAACACTGGAAGATCTTTAATTTCATTGGCTGGGGTAAGTGTTTTCTCTTTCCGAAAGAAGACAATTATAGTACAACCCCAATAACCTAAACCTATTTCCCGTGAATTTGTTCATACTATATATTCAATAGTTTTGACGTACTTACATCGCAGAAAAAATATTGTTTTTTTATGAATTTGACACTTATTCCCTTGTCTCGAAATCTCGCTTTCTCGAACATTTTTGCTTCCTATGGCTGTTCGAGATAGCGAGGTACTACTACATATGTATTTTCACCATTTAATTTTAAGTTGAGTAAGGATAATTGAATGGGTTATTTTAGTAACCATAAGAGAAAATCGTGAATTAATTGGAGTAAGAAAATATTTGATGATCTGTCAAGTCTACTTGCCACCAAATACTGCTATATAATTAGAATAAACACTGCCAACATAATGTAGGTGGGCAAACTACCATTTCCTGCGCAGCAGGGGCTCTTCGAAGTGCTACTAATTCATTGGGAAATCATGAAAATCGTAACATTTTCCATAATATATTTCCCAATATGCTGATATTCATTCATACACTTACATTGGTTTCACCTTGGTATACGTACATGAACTTGTGGTTAAGAGCTCAACAACTGGGTACTGTAGCTCAATTGGTGAGAGCGCTGCATCGCAACTGCTCCTGGTGAGGTTTATTATAATATTTATAATGATTAATTTTACTCTCGAAATTTGCATCTATAAAACCCTTCAGCATGTCATTTATTGTGGTTACTGTATTTAATATTACTTACTGGTAGTTGCAAGATAACAGCTTTCTATATAGCTGAACAAGTCTAAAACTGTGTAAATATAGATACTTATAGTAATAATAAATCCCGAGTTCATAAGTGAAAGTAAAGACTATGACAACGTGTTTACCACTTGTTATATTAATATCGTTACAGGGATTCCTTTATTGATCGTTGTTATATCACTTGGAGCGACTCAGGGTGAAGGATATGGAACAGAATCTTCATGTTGGCTTAGCGTTGAAAATAAAGTGATTTGGGCTTTTGTGGGACCTGCTTTCATTGTCATATTGGTGGGTGCTCTCATCTCAATCTTTAGGTCAACTAGTTTGTACATGTATCTTTATCCCTGTAAAGAAATGTCGTTTAGCAGTAATTATTATTTGGTATTTAAGACACATTTTCGCATAAAAAATTAATTACAATGTGTTTACATTCAAAGTCAAATTTAGTTTATAGTTATTTACATGGTCATAAAATTTAAGGTAAAATAGATTAAGAATATTATTAAAATATAAGTTAAGGATATTAAGTTAAGAATATTATTAAAATATAAATTGTTCAACCATTCAATCTAAGGTAGATCCCTTCCTCTATTTCATGGCATTCAGCTCAATAATTGCTGTTGGAAAGAAACTGTTTTTAAAACGTTCAGTTCTGCACTTATGAAATGACAGATTATTTAAGTTTCTAATATAACATTGTTGAGCACAAGCTCTAGATTGTGTCAGGTGTTCAGCATGGGACCTGCACGTTTAATAATCTTCTGTAAAGTATTTATACAAGTTTCGTTTCGCCTGTCGCTAAGTCTTGTGCAATTAGCCAATTGGAGGGCTTCGTCGTATGAGTGGCCAGGAAAGATAATGCGCATGGCACGCTTTTGTACTCTTTCCAGTTCGTCAGACAGATAGCGGGGTTTCGCGTAATTCCACACCTCACAACAGTATTCCAGAATAGAACGAATAAGCGCGAAGTATATGTTGGTAAGATCAGCAGGAGGGACACCACCGCGGCATAATACCCGAAGACCGTATAACCGTTTGGAGGCCTTGGTGACGATTGATCGAATTTGCTCATCCCATTTTAGATTGTGTTGAATAATTAAACCGGTACCCAACACTTTGTGCGATTGTATCGTTTCTACCACGTGACCATCAATTGTCAAAGGTGGTAGCTGCAGTGTTTCTTTAAGAGAAGAAATCCGGAGCTCTTTGCACTTTTTGGCATTCAATTTCATACAATTGTAAATTGACCATGAATCGATAGAATCAAGAGTTGACTGAGTGGCAGAGAAACTGTTCGATGTACGATTTTCAGAAGATGAGACATCGTCCACAAATTTCCACATTTTCGTGTCTGGGGAGTTTACTCTCAAATCATTAATCATAATGAGGAACAATATTGGACAAAGTTTAGTCCCTTGAGGGACCCCAGCTGTCACTGGGATGGCTTGAAAAGGATTCTCCAATTTTAACTCGTTGTCCTCGATCACAAAGAAAGTTTATAATCCAGGGTATTAAAGACCGCCAAACGCCCAGGTCTAGCAGTTTTTCAATGAGAATATTGTATCCAGCCCGAGCTGAGTCCAAATTCGAGACCCAATATTGGAGCATATCAAAGAGGCAATAGGTGGTCGACGTTCCTTTCAAACAGTCAAATTGGCAGGGTTCGATCTTTCCCTTGACGTCGTCAATTAGCCAACTTACAACAAAATCTTCCAGCAGTTTGGACAGGCAAGAGGACAACGATATTGGTCTGGTATCTCCTTCACGTTCGGGTTGTTGTACCTTCGGGATTGGAATGATATTGGATTCTTTCCAAATTCTCGGGACGACGCTGGAGGAAGGATTGCATTAAATATGGTGGTAACTGGATCGGCTAGCACGTGAGCAACATCTTTTAGAAATTGACTTGGTACAACATCAGATCCTGTTGCTTTATAAGGTTGAAGAGCCAAAAGCTTTGAAGGTTGAAGAGCCAAATGTCCTTAGCCGGTAAGAACGCGGGCAGTGAATTTGCATCAAATGTCGGAATATCCGCGTTGACAGACAGGTAAAATTCATTAAGGGTACTTGCTAGTTGTTCGTCGTTCAGAGTTTCCCCGTTGCGTTCTAAAGAGAAAGATTTTGTTTTCTCAGTTTTACCGGACATTTTTTTTACCATTTTCCACCATCTACGACTGTCAGTGTTTCTTAGGTGTTGAACTTTGTTCTTATAAAAAGACTTTTTTCTTTCCCTTATTTCGTATCAAGTTCTCCGTTCGTCAAACCGTCCGTTCGGCAAACTGTCCGTTCGGCAAAATGTCCGTTCGGCAAAACGTCCGTTTGGCAAAACGTCCGTCGGCAAAGTGTCCGTTCGGCAAAGTGTCTTTCGGCAAAGTGTCTTTCGGCAAAGTGTCTTTCGGCAAAATGTCCGGCCACCATTTCGTATTGGACCTTGCGTCTTAGTGAGAGCCAAAGGGGAATGGTCCTGCTATGGAATGCTTTCTGACGATCTCTTATGAGGGTTTTAATGGCTGGTGTTACCCCAGGTTTATCGGAATGATGGAATTTTACCACGTACCTATTAATGATATACTGGAAATACATTCATGAAGAAACCCTTCGTCTTGATGGCAAAACCATTATATTTTCCGAACATGAAGAATTTGAAGTAGTTCTCATGGTAACACGATAATTTTATTAAGAAATTTTTAAATTTGAAGATCCCCTAAAAATATCACTAGTATTTTAATTACAATTTCAATATATATATATATATATATATATTAAGTATGTCATTATACGTTATTAGTATAATTACATAGGTGATTATTGAAAATTCTCCACGCTGATTGGTTACCGTTGAGGTGATTGTTACGCGATAATCACCTAAGCGATTTTCAAAATGGCGGCCGAAGCCGTTTTGCCAATTAAAAGACGAAGAAATGTGCATTTTTAATTTTTTTTCCAAATAATCACCCATGAAATTATACTAAAACAATTATTCACCTCAGGCTCGGTGATTATCGTGAATAAAAACCTCGACTTCGTCTCGGTTTTTATTCACCGATAATCACCTCGCCTTCGGCGAATAATTGTTAATTATACGTTATTATTCAACCACAAACGCTTCGAAAATATATGACTTAAAACTAATAAAACTACTACCTTTTATCGATAAACCTTGAGTTTGAAAGAAAAAGATTTCAAATTCTCGCACGAAAATAACTTTGCTTTTCTCTTTAATTAAATATTTTAGTGCATTAAAAAAGGTAATTAATAAAAATACGGTAAAATGTAATGCTATCTTTTTTCATTATGTCCATGCAACGATCAGTTTTCAAAAGCAATTATAAAAGGAAACAATACATCATTATTTAAAACAAACTTACCTTCATTGGTTCTTTCAATTTTCTGAAACGAACTCGTCTGAAAAAAATTTAATTAAAAGCAGATGTATTAATTTTCAAATAGTATCTGTTATTATAATGTCGTAATGCGGTCATAATAAAGCGAAATTTAAATTTGACCACTCAGTGTTCGCCAATTCCTTGACAGTCCACCATTTTTTCGAAATCAGTGGAAGATCCACCCTTGGCCACGGATCCCGATGATTGATGCATGAACTTCACACTTCGCTCGAGGGATATGTGTAATTTTCATTCCCCAATTTGTAAACATGTTCCAATTCACCGTTTGGTGCAAGAACATGTCAATCGACCACCAATTATTATTATTAGTATTATAAAATATATCACAACTGGTTTCCTTTGTCCGTCTTTGTCTTCCAGGCCAACACAATCGTGTTTGTCATGGTGCTACGTACAATGATGAACTCTCACAATATCAAACAACGAAACAATATTGGTAAAGTCAGAGCTGGTGTAAAAGCTGCTGTAGTAATCTTCCCAATCCTTGGCTTGACTTGGGTGTTTGGCTTGATGACTTTCAACAAAGAAACGTTGTTCTTCCGCTATCTTTTTGCCGTGTTCAATTCCACGCAAGGAATGCTCATTTTCTTGTTTCATTGTGCCTTTAATAAACAGGTAAGTGCCGCGAGAATATCTGAAGTTGACGGTCCATTGTAGAAAATATTTTACAATAAGCAGCCATGGTTTGCACCTACATTGCTCGAAAAATTATCTCAAACGCAAGGTTCGATCAGGATAGATAGTGCTCTACCATCAGCTGTCGTGATTTGTGTTTGAAATTGCCTGAACAGATAACTTGTCACTGTTCAGCCACAACCCACGACAGCTTTAAGTACAATACTCCCTACACTTCAACTGCACCATATCTATTTCAGGTAATTTACATACAAACCACCGCAGCTTATTTTAGCCAACACTAGGCTACTTACAGTGTATCACACGTCTTTTTCAAGTCGTTCAGAAACAAGCCACGGTAGTGTGATATTGAATACTACCCAGGGACGCCGGAACGATCATAAGGCAAAGGGAGGCGGACCCACAGCAAGGGCACTTCTCTAAAGCAAAACTTGGAAATCTTCCGAAATTTTTTTTTTATGCAAAAATTTTGGTCAGTGTACCATTTTAGGGGTCAAAAATTTTTTCCGGACATACCATAAGTGAAATATAAATTGTAAATTGTCTGAATCTCATAATTTTCGTACAAAAACCATTGTTCTAAATGTGATTTATCACGTTTTTTTTATAACTAAAGGGCACTTCTGCCCCCCTGCCCCCTCTAGCAAAAGGCAAGGGGGGCAGCCGCCGCCCCTGCCCCCCAGTTCCGGCGTCCCTGATACTACCTACACATCTGAGAAACCATTTATTCAGCCGTACTTTAGAGCAAAAAAGCACCAACATACAATAAATTTTGTCGAAAACAGAATATGGACATGCCACTGAAGCATTTTATGGGTTATTAACCATAAACGCTAGAGCATATTTAAACAGTGCAGACGATAGTATAGAGAATTTGATGATGATAGAAATAGCTCATCGCTTAGTTGCATTCTTTAAGATATCCCAAGCTGGGCAAGAAGAAATAGCATATAATTAGCATAATTATTCTGCACATAAGTAGCAGCTTTTTGCCGATACTATTTAGACTTGCAATGACCCTCATTTTAAGGTATCTTTTTCAGGTAACCCATCGCCGATGATTGAATACTACGTACAATAAATTTGCACGTTTGAGATATCGTTTCCAAGAAAAGATTAAAACTTGACCATTTCAAGAGTGTTTATTTAACAGATTTTTAATGAGTTATCTTGTATAAATATTGTACAAGTATTCTTACAAATAAATATCAAAAGGCATATATAGAGACATTGAATGAAAACTCAAATAAGATAAGCACGAACGGGAGCCGAGGTCCCATACAAGGTCGTCCCCCCCCCCCTTTAACGTAGACTTTTATCCAATTAACCAATTAACTAATTAGGTTTTTAGCTAGAAGGTCTAATGCGTGATGATACATGTTTTATGTTTTGCAGATGCGAGATGTTATCCGCAGCAACACATTCTCAACCAGCTTTGGCAAAAGTTCTGCTCGCCATCCAAAAAGTAAGAAAACCTTGCGATTAATTAACATTTTATGTTTTATCTCCCTACATGTTCAATGTTTTGTTAGTTAAAATAGGAAGTTTAAGCAAGCGACGTCTTTGTGAACACGACGTGCAGTGCTGGATTAACAATTAATTGTGTTAGGGTCAGTTCATGGTAATCTTCAACGCATATGACAAAACATTTTTAAAGTTTCTGCTTCCTCAGACGAGCGCTGTGAGGCAAAATGCCGCAAAAATTAATTATGCCAATTTTCGGGTGACGTTCGTGTTGACCCAAAGCTCAAGCTTACTAATTAGCAATTGCATTCTTTTCACCAGTATATTCACATTAATCTAACCAAACCACATTATTTTGTTTTCTCAGATTCCACAAGTTCACCTAACAAGAGACTTGGTTCAGATATAAACCAGAACATGGTTGAAAAGAATTCGAGACTACAGGCAGAGAGAAGTAAATCTGAAAGTGCTGGGTATGGTGGATATAACAACCGGAATGTGTCTGTCGCTGTGGAAGCGGAAGAAGATGATGTATACGTTACGTCTCCTGCTGTCCAAGGTTAGTCATGTTGGAAACGTGTTGCTGGCCAAAAGATGCATGAATAATTCTTTGTGGACCTGCTTATATACGTCTGGGCTACTTATAGCGAACATGCGCAGTAGAGACAATAATAAAACACATGTTTACATTGTAGTTTTCTCTTATTTCTGTTTTACAAATACTGCATTTGTAAATGTAATAACCTTTTAAGTATTTTCTGCCCGTTTACTCTTGCAATTTTCGCTGGAATTTCTAGTGCGATTTTCTTCTTCTGATGCTTGTGAACGAGTAAATAAGTTACGAATGTTCGAGATATATGTACCCTCATCTGAACATTCATAACTAAGCCACTCGTTCACATCTATCAAAAGAGGAAATATTGCCCCCTAAAATCGCTGCAAAATTTGCAAGTGTAAACGATCCTCTATACACATGCAGCAACGTTATTTATGCTAGACAGCTATATCAATTCAGTTGACCAAACGTCTCAATCTTATACTGTTTCAGTGTTCCTGCACAAGGGAACCGTACTATTCGCAAGACAAAACCTGCAGTGTTTAGTGAAGTCAAACAGGAGTCATTCTTAATAGGCCTTACAAGGTTAAGGACGCCATTTTAAATTATTGTTTTCACCATTGTGCGTGCACCCCCTGCAAATTTACCTATTGGGAATTCCACTGTGCTTGCACCTCGGGCACTATTGTGTTTCATTATGATGTCGTTAACCCTGGAAGGGTCTTTTCTAAATTTTGATATGCCACTGTGCAGGAATCGGACCCTGATTTATTGATTTCACGGGATTGAGTATAAGCGGCTTAATTTAAAGGCGGTTAATTATATTTAATAATCAAATTCATATCATCCACATTACCAGTACATCTTCTATATGCATATTTTAAATATCTGTGATTAAAACCATAAATATAGACGTTTCCTTGAAACTCTAGCTTAAAATCTTGCCGGACAATTTAAGTGGTTTTCATTCCCTGAGCTTGCAAATTCGGGAAGTGTCCGTTGATAAACAAAAGAATATAAGTATCATCCACTTAAGCTTTCTTCAATATAGGAAATAAAGAAACAGACGACCTCGATTCATCAAACGGGTCGGTACGAAATGAAAATTCGTTTGGCCGAGACAACGATGCAAGCTTTCATAATGATAATGATAATGGAGAGTTACAGCATTCGTCTTCTACGGACAGACCACCAAACAATGAAGAGGCTGACTTAACTGTATAATCTGATTGCAATATCCGCTCGCTAGCTCTATCTAGCTTTTTGCAATAGGATCCTGATGGCTATATTTGAACCATAATAAAAGCAAAAAATATTCTGTGACACATTTATAATCATAACGCTGTTAGAGTGCAAGGCTGGCTAAATCTCACCAGGCAACAGACGTCCTTCGCGTATGGGTGCATCATCATTTGCAATACAAGCCTACAAAGAATAAGATTACTTCCCCTTAATCAAAGAAATTATTCAATTTTTACTTCCCCATGCAAACAACCATATTTTCGATCGAGCAACTTATTTAGGATTCTCGCCAGCAAATTGAACACAACATTGCAGTGGCGTAGCCAGCTCGATAATTCGGGGGGGGGGGCATATTCATATATTCGTGCTCTGCATTATTAATTTTTTTTGAAATTGATTGTTTTTAAGGTCTGTGAATACGAATATATGAATATCCCCCCCCCCCACTTATCGAGCTGGCTAGCCACTGCAACATTGTTTTTACCAAGGTACCGGACTTCGCGTAACATTCGCGTTAATCGCGAATGTCACGCGAAGTCCGTTACTTTGCAGAGAGAGAGCTTTAATCGCTAGAGCTTTAATCGCGTTACCCTCAATAACAATCAGTGAGATTAATCCAGTGAGATTTATTCGGTGAGATTTATCCAGCCTTCATTCTTTTATGCATGATAGGGTAATTGGAGGCCATAAATTATACGTCTCAGTCAATATTTCTTAGCATAACAATGTACTATCAAATAGCCATACAATCTTTTATATAATAACTATTAATTTTGCACTTTTACAAGGTAATATTTTTTTCGTGTAAATAATTAACAATTATTCACTGTCCAAGTGGAGGTAGATAGGATATCCGGAGTTGAGCAAGCAATCAAATTGCACGAAAAGCACTATCCACCTCGCGAGTATATGATATGGTTGCCTAGTGAGGTATAAATATAAACAACTTTAATATACCGTTTCGTATTTTACCCTGGAACAATTGGGATGTGTGTAAAACCTAAAGATCAACTGGTCACAACTGGTCGCTAGATAATGGTATATTCTAAACGTAGGCCGTTGCACTTTTTTCTTTATTTTCCAGATGATGTGACCTCAACGAGAACCAGTCTTATAACACACGTATGATTTTCAGCAATATAAATGGTTAACAGTGCACACATAAGCTAAGGATGTATCTTAAAAGTATATCAATACAATACATAACTCTATATGGAAGTGTGCGAACATGTATACTAATTAACTTTGTATAATTATTTTGTTATTCTTTGCTACTACACTCACTCTATACCTTGTAAAGTTTCAAAAGTCTCCTGTACATTGGTTCCTCATTACTCACCCGATGCATAACGCGCATTGGGTAGGGTTAGTTCGGCAAAAACTAAGGGCCCCGACAGTTATAGGGGCGCCCGTCAGCCACGGCCTATCGCCCAGAAAATTAGTAGAAAACGTAAAAAAATACAGGTTAAGAATCAATGGCAAAATGCAAAATTAATAATGATAAATAATAAAGCCTCCATCGACAACGGTAGCTGATCTTTTTATTTCATCTCCGCTAACTTCATCTTTCTTCATCTTTCGCCACTGTTTAACTCTCCACAAGCGGCTCAATCTTGCAACCTTGGTCATTATAGCAGGAGCGAAACTATCCCCTTCTATTTGGGGGTGTCTGCTAGAATTGCCCTGCGAAAGCCGATGATGCCCTGCACTACTTTGGCCACTATTTCTCCCAAAAATGTTGGGGGGCAGGTCGAAAAATTTTTTCCGGATATTTAAAAAAGCGGCGAAAAAATTTTTCCGGGCATAAACCAATTAAATTAAGGGTCAAAAAATTTTTTCGGACTTAATTCCTGTTACAACATGCATGAAACCCTTATGTTTTGACCGATATCTGTAAAATTTAGGTCTATATATTCTATTCAATTCCTTCTGGAAGCCACTTAATAACCCTACATTCTATCATTTAAAATCTTTCATTGCCCTGCCAATCCAGATGACTTGTCCTGCCAATCCAGATGATTTGTACTTTGGGGGTGAAGTTCGTCCCTGCATTATAGTAATGGATAATTATTAGAGTAAAAACGTGTCATCAAAATATTTTAAAGTTATATTTACTTACCTATTTGATAGTCTGTCTTCTTTTATTCCTCATTTGGTGGACTAATATTTTAATAATTGCACTCGATGGTTGCTACTAGTATACATAGTACATGATAAAGGTAAATGACTTCCGATCGTCGACACAATCACTTCGAATCGAAAATTTACCCCCTCAAATCGCTTAATTATATAATCCTCAAAAAAAAATTCACCAGCAAGTTGAACAGACGACGTTCTTCGAAAATACCGAGATGCTTCCACGAGATGTACTAATTTTGACAATGCATGGAAATCAAAATACATTTTACCGCGAAAGCATGGGCAACCAGGCCTCTTTCAACATTGGGATTTACATTCAATAAAAGCTAATTTTAAATATGATATCTAGACATCATAAATTATTTTAAATACATGTCTTATTATTATATGTTGCTTCCCACAGTACTTCCCACTTTTTGGTCATTTGCATGATGTGAGCAGGTGGCGTTCTCTCTCCTCCACGCCGTAATTCCAGGAACGAAACTTGAGGGGAGGGGGGGTGACACCCCCTAAGTACAAATCATCTGGATTGGTTGGGCAAATCATATGGATTGGCAGGGCGATCAAATATTTTAAATGATAGAATGTAGAGTTATTAAGTAGCTTCCAGAGGGAATTGAATAGAATTTATAGACATAAATTTTACAGATATTGGTAAAAAATAAGCGTTTCATACATGTTTTAACAGAATGTCCGGAAAAAAAATTTTTGGCCCCCCCCCCCCCCCCCAATCGCCAACATTTTTGGGAGAAATAATGGCCCAAAAAAATTTTCCTGCAGGGCATCATCTGCTTTCGCAGGGCAATTCTAGCAGACACCCACTAATTAAAAAGAGCTAGTTTCGCCCCTGCGTAAATCCCAACGGTAAAGGATGCTTGGTTGCCGGTCAGTAATCGTCGATCTTTGTAAGTTCAATATAAAATGGATTTTGATTCCCATTGTTAAATAAATAAAATATGGTCATTATCTTCCCGAATCAGCTTAGTATTTTTGAAGAACGTCGTCTGTTCTACATGCTGGCGAATTTTTTTAGCGATTTGATGGGGTAAATTTTCGATTCGAAATGCCGTGCCGACGCATCGACGATCAGAGGTCGTTTGCCTTTATCATGTACTATGTACACTAGTAGCAGCCGCAACCATCGAGTAGGGCCCATCAGAGAAATTCTGGTGCCCGGGCCAAATTTTTGTTTCGGGGGCCCTATTTTTTCCAAAAATGTTGGCGAGCGGGGGGGGGGTAAATTTTTTCCGGACATTGTAAAATAGGGTTAAAATAATTTTCTAGTCAAATATCAGTTAAACTATAAAAGTTTTTCCCTACTAAATCCACTCACATCATGGATCAAACACTTTTTTTGGATCATTAAATGTAAAATTTCGGTTTAGAAATTTTTTTTCTAATACCATTATTTATATCAAAAAAACGTTCGAAATTATTTTTTTTGTTTTGCAAATTTTGGGGGCCCTCTTACACCTGGGGCCTGGGAAAAATTGCGTCCTTTGCCCCCCTCTGAAAGGCCTTGCCATCGAGTGTAAAGTCTGGGAAAATTTTAGCCTAACAAAAGAGGAATAAAAGGAGAACACACACTATCAAATAGTCAAGTAAATTTCATTTTTAAATATATATTTTATGGCATTTTTTATTATAATATACTAATAACTTACTGACCGAGAGTGAGGGCAGTACGAGAGATTATCCAACCGAGGTCTTGCTGTATTTACCGAGCAATAGCGACGTCAATATACAGCAAGACCGAGGTTGGATATTTTTCGTACTTCCCGAACGGTTGAGGTCATACATGTCCAATACCTATGCAAGATGTACGATGGAAAATCAAAATGCCGTTGGTGCCAAGCTGGAAAAAAAATTGAAAATTTGGAGTTTCCACATTGCCCGAAATGGCATTTCCAGACTCTTCACTGCCACTTTCGTTAAGCCTATTGTAGATACATGTAAATACGGTTTCAAATACTTTTAGGTTCGAAAATTTCGCAATGATATTTTACTATTTTTATAAAGCTACCTCCTATGAAATATTGGGGGCAAACCCCCTGCTTCCTACGCCCCTCTTTCGATCATGATATATTGCTGGAAAATTTTTATTTACCCATTGTCATGTTCTTCTACGACTAATTTACAGTAACTACGTCACTCACAACTATTTTTACACATAAACGGGAGATGAAATATTGCATACATTGTACACGTACCCCTCTCAACGAACCCATAAATTGAGTGAGTAGGTCTTTTGAGGAGTGGCGACAGCATTTTTGCCAAAATCAAAATAATTTGCCACACCACCAAACTTTGCTTCATTTTGTCCAGTTATCCCAATACCATGGTCTGCTCTTTTACAATCGTTCCCTCCTCCACCAATCATCATCACAGCACCATCACCATGAAGCCAATCACACCAAAACCCAATGTGGCTATTATTCTGTATATCGCTGCTGCAACTGTGCTGTTCAAAACCTGTTGTAGTTTTGTACTGACCGTTGTAAGTTACTGGACAACTTCCAAGACACTTGTCACTGGCGCAGATTACACCATTACGAAAGTTTCCATAACTTGTCATCTTTGATCTGAATGTGCCACCTTTAAAAATAAAATACCTCGCTTGCTAATACCTGTGGTGCTGTTGGCAATAATTGATCATTTAAATATTTGTTCACTTTCTTATATTGGTTTATGACTTGTAGTAAACACTGGGCTAGGATTGGGCAGGACTTTGGACTGCATTCTGGATTTGAAATTCTCTTTCTGAAGAAATATTTTCGCATTAATTGCCATAATTATTGTTAAAGGCTGATTTCCACTGTTGCGTTTTTCATACGCACGTATACGCACGTAAAACTTTAAATCCGTTTAAATGTTACTTATAAAATAAGCAAATAAATAAAGCAACAGAATTTAGTGTTTCGCAAGTTTTAGTATGCATTTCTTAACTTATATATTTGGAAAATATTTAAAAAATAGAAGGTTTCAAAGTTTTACGTGCGTGTACGTGCATTTTTTACTGATCGTTTTTTACGCACGTACACTTACGTTTACGTACGAGTGTTACGCAACCGGAAACGGATGAGTTTAACCCGGTTACGCGAGTTAACATATGCGTGCAATGTCTGACCCAATCAGAAAGTTGGTTGTAATCACGTGAAAATTGCAACGGCCATTTTGATATTGTAATTTATATTTCGAAGAGAATTTTACTCATTATTGGGAATGAACTTTACGAGCATTTACGTAGGGAATAAAACGCTTGACTGCATGATATCGGCCCAGGACCGTAGCTAGCATATATAGTTGGAGGGTGTAGGCCAAAAATTTCCGAATGACGAAAAAAATTTCCGAATCAGTATTTCATGGCACACGAAGACACGAAGGTGTTTGCTCTCTGGAAAATAAAAAGGCAATTTACAAACAAAAATACGAATATTTTACGTACAGACATATTACTGAAGCATGCAGTGCCGTAGGAAGCTCTTTTTGATTTGGGGGTTGATAGAGAGCGTCGAAGGCCCGAGCATTTTATTAAATTTAGAGTCTCTGAAATGCCATTTCCTGGACTTTGGGGAAGTTTTGACAGAATTCTGATGGTCAGAAAACAGCGTTTTAGTATGTCGAAATTTACAATTTGCTTGCAATTTAGTAGTACTAAATGGGCGAAGACGTATTTAATTAACTATATATTGGAGAAGTTGCAGGAAAGTATGGGTAATATGATTCTTTGCAGTTTGTCATGGATAATGTAGCCGCTTAAAATTAATCAATTGTCAGTATTTTAAAGGTATATTATTTAAATGATAAAGGTCTGCATCATTTTGAAAAAAGAATGATTATTGGCAAATTTTTGAGAGTGCTGCTGTACCCCCTCAGCCCCCCACCCGTTGCTACGGCCCTGAGAAGTAAACCGACGATTTGTCAAATGTTATCCATGTAAATGCCATGATTTATACTGACAATACAATTATATTATATTTTCTCTGTTTAACAACTAAAATTTTGTTATACTATCATTGCCGTTGGGGTTAACCACCCCCCCCCCCCCAAAATAGCCCCTCGCTACGACCCCGAATCAGGCTTTAGAACAACCAAATGGAGCCAGGGGCGTAGCTAAAAGGGGGTGTAACCCCACCACATTCATCACAGATTCGGCAAATGTCTGCTAGATTCGGCAAACTGTTTTCGCATTTCTGGGAAAATTGTTTTCGTGGTGAGCGAAAACTTTTTAGTGGTTCGGAATAAAAAGAAATAGTTGTAATAGTTATAGCAAAAGTGTTACTAAATTTACGAAAAAATTACGGAAACCGTTAAAAAATAATATGTCCGGAAAAATTTTGTGACACCTTCCCCCCCCCCCACCTATCCCCGCCCCCGCTCGCCAACATTT